CCGGCCAGGCGCCCGGGCCCGTCCCGGGACCGGCAGCGGCCGGTGGGTCGGTCGTGGTGCTCGCTTCGTCGGCGCGGTCGACGCGCCCGCGGCCGGCCCGCGCGACGCGCGCGCGCGCGCGCGCGGGCCTGCCGGCCCGGAAACGGCGGCCGAAACTGGGTGGGGTTGCGGTTTTTCTTGCAGTAAAGTATGCATGACCGAATTTAGCAGGGCGCCGCCCTGCGAGTGGGGCTGTCGGCTNTGCGCTGCAAGAAAAATTGCATTTACGGCAGTACAATATGTTTCCGGTAACGGGTTAGTGAGTTTAGACCACCTATCATCATCCAGCTAAATAAAACTGCTGGTTGTGGTGGTCCTCTCCCAGCTCGCCGCTTCCCCGGGGTCCGGGGTGGCGCGGCTTATATTTTTTGGTCATATGGTTTCTACTAGCATCCAAGGGTTGAGTTTGAGTGATGAGTTGCTGGTCATGCCGAAGGTGCTCGCAAGCCCAGGAGCATCGAGCATGCCGCGAACGGCTGCAGCGAAAGTCACCCCGTGGCACCCATTTTGGGCTGCCGAGGGGCGATTTGGACCGGTTGCTGCCTTCAGCGACCTCAGACGGGCGGTTATCGCGTGGGATAGGCCGTCGGGCTCCGGCTCTGCGGAGGGTCCTCCAGTAGCGTGGCTTCCGTAGAAACCACCCGTAGTGACGCGTTCTAAGACGAGTCCGACGCGTTGGATGGGAATCCGATGTCCAATCCGACCACTCGATGATCGCGTTCCGCGCGGCGGCCGCGCGTCGCTCCGCGGCCGCGTTCGCGCGCGAATAAAACCCCGAAAACGGTCACCGGTACCTCCGGGGACGACCGGACAACCGAGCGACGACGCTCGCCGGCGTCCGTCGGCGGGGTGTCGGTGGCCATTTAAGTGGGAATGACCCCGCGTCGATAGCCGAAGTCACACCGTGGCACACTCCAAAAGCCAACATCTCGTCAAGGTGCCGCCACGAACACCAAATAGCGCGGGCTATGCGACGGGCCAGGACCGCTTCCGGCGGGCGAGGAGGCGGCGCGGGACACGGCGCGGCCGCGGACCGAGGACCTCGAGGGCGGCGTGCCGCTGCCGCTGCGTGCGCATGGTCTGGAGACGCTTCGGGCGCTCGCAGCGGCGTCGGCGAACACGGCTGAGCGCCGCGTCCAGAAGAAGGACATCCAGTTCGACGCCGGGCGCAGCTCGTGGCAGACCCTCTTCGACCCGAGCAAGTCCGGCTCCCTCGTGGCGCGCGGCTACGCAGCGGGGGGCGGCGCCTCCGGCCCCGATCGAGGCCGCTACTGGATCACGGCCGCGGGGCTCGAGTACCTCGCGGCCGTGGACCGCGCCGCCGTCGCCGACGCCGACGCC